AAAACTATTGACATGCCCATGGATATCGGGAAAAAATTGATCACAGGTGGAGAAAATTATCAGACTAAAAGAGATGTTTGCAGCAGAATTTAAGATCAATGACCTTAAAACTATCATAACTATATATTTTTTAGGAATGGAGGTGGCTCAATCTAAAAAGAAAAAATGTCATATCAAATGAAACTAACTTGCTTGGGGCGTAAACTATTGACATGCCCATGGATCCAATAAAGAATTGAACATAAGTGAAGGAAATAATCCAATTGATAGAAAAAATATATCAAAAACTTTTGGGCAAATTAATCTATCACACACAAAACTGATATTGTATATTCAATATCATAAGCCAATACATGAATAATCCAAGTGAAAATCATTTAGAAGTAGTAAATAAAATTTTAAGATACTTGAAGATGACTAATAAACATGATTTAATTTTCAAAAAAAAAAATCTAAAAAATCATGATACGAAGATATACATCGATATTAACTAGGCAAGTAAAGTAACTGATAGAAAATCAATTATTGGGTAAATTACACATATCCGAGGCATCTCGTCACTTGGAGAATTAAATAAAAAACTAGTATCTTTGAACATAGTGCAGAATTTGAATATCATAATCTTGCATTAAGAATATGTGAGCAAATATAACCTCAAAAACTACTATGAAAGGAACTTAAAATTAAAACAAATAACACAATTAAGATGTTCAATGATAATCACACTATTAAATATAGCCAAAAATCATATGTACCATGATAAAATAAAACCCATCGAGATTGGCTGACACTTCATCTCCAAACTAATAGCAAAAGTGTTTAGCCAAATTATATCCCAACAAAAAATCTAGATTGTTGATATTCTCACCAAACTACCATGTGCTTGACAAGAAATAAATTTATTCTCATTATTCAAATATATTTCTATATTTAACTTTTCCTTTATTAGATTTTGCCTAATTTTCAATTTTTCTATTTCGTTGATTTCCTAATTCAAAAAGTCCCCAACTTCATACTTTTATGAACTGATATGTCAGCCACTTTATTATATATATGATAAGGTGTAAGTCATTTAGGTGAATAAAAAGTATCTCAAAATTCTTCAATTAATATGCCAATTCATTCAATCATAAAAAATTCTAGGAAGTAAAGTGCAAATGAGGTAAATTAGAAATGCATTAAGTGCATTTTGCTTTACTTATTATTACTACAAGCCTTTAACAGGTCCTTTTATGTTAAAGGGTCCTTAACAGGTCCTTTAACTTACATGAAATCAAGAAGGTAATTTGTTGCCCTCCTAATAGCTATTAATGGGTCCTTATTTCCATTCACTTCTAAATTAACCTAAAAAATAGGAAAAATTATTCAAAGCTTTAAAGTAATGGTTTCATACAAAAACTTGTTAATTCTTATTTGATTATACTTTTATTATGAGAACAACGAAGTAGCCAAAACCTTTCTCTCCACTCCTAATCAAACACAGAGATTCTAGTAACAAATAAATGCATATTTTTAGAAAAGAAAAGCAAACAACTACCTGACATACACTCAACAAAAAGCAAGAAATAATACTTGAATTAACCTATAACACTAGAAGCTATAGATACGATAAAAAAAGGATGAAATAGAAGGCAACATAATGCATCTATGAAATATATATGTTGCATTAGTCTATTCAACTACAAAAGCTGAAAAGAGAGTTCTGGAAAGAGCAATTGCAACTTCAAGCATTCTATTGAAAAGTGCAACAAAGAAAAAACAAGTTCTTAATGTTCACTTCCAATAGAAAAGATTACTACTACCATGCTAATAAAAATAAGCCTGAGTTAGCTTTGGCCCTTTGATTAATCAAAATCTTGAAAGCTATATGGACAATCAATGTACAAGAAGAAAATTGTTTGAGTTATCTACTAAATGTAATACATTTGAAGCTTTGGAGCCCAATGGATGCAAGAAGAAAAAAGGACTCAATATAACTAAACATGACCAAACACACACATATTCAACAAAAAATATCTTGGAGGAATGTATGTGGAACAAATCATCCTAGTTGTAATAAAATTATGTATTTTGGGTTATATTTAACTAGTTAACAAGTAATAAATCCATCAATACGTGTTAAACTACAATATCATTACCTTGTTTAAAGTACATAAAGGTACCGAAAGTCCTGCTACCTTAATAATATGTATAAAAATCAAGAAGTTAACTTGTTAGCCTCCAAAATGCTATTGATGGGGGCTGATCTTCATTTACTTATAAATTAATATTAAAAATAAGAAGTTATTAAACCTTCAGAGTAATGTTTTCATACACAAACTTGCTATTTCTTACTTGATAAGTTTTTAAGATAAGAAAAACAAAGTAGTCAAAACCTTTTTCTCCACTTCTTAACAAACAACCCAAAGATTCTATGCAACATCAGCAACAACAACAACAAGCTTTTATCGCACTAAATGTCATCTGCTACATGAATCCTTTTTTTCCATTGTGTCCTATTATCCTTTTTTTCCATTGTGTCCTATTGAGTATTATATTTACCATATAATTTTAATAAATTAAGATCATTTTTATATAATATGCTCAAGTTTTTTAGGTCTATTCAAATCTAAAACATATATTCTCCAAACCGCATCATTAAATGGTCAACTTTCACTATGACCAAACCATCTAAGATGACTCTCTCTAATCTTATCCACCACTGGAGCTACACAAGCTACACCCACGGCTCCATTCATTTTGAATTTTATCTCTAAGAGTCAAGTCACTCATCCACCTAAGCATTCTCATCTCAACAACATTTGACTTAGTTTTATTCTTCTCTTTTATAACCCAACACTCTGCACCACAAAGTATTGTAGGTCTCCGCCAAAGATTCTAATAGCAGATAAATGCATATTCATGGAAATGAAAAGAGAGCATCAACTTGATGTATACTCGAGAAAAAGCAATACATAATACTTAAACTAGCATATAACACTAGAATTTGTAGATAAGAATAAAAAGGTTCACACAAATAGAAGATCATTTTTATATAATATGCTCAAGTTTTTTAGGTCTATTCAAATCTAAAACATATATTCTCCAAACCGCATCATTAAATGGTCAACTTTCACTATGACCAAACCATCTAAGATGACTCTCTCTAATCTTATCCACCACTGGAGCTACACAAGCTACACCCACGGATCCATTCATTTTGAATTTTATCTCTAAGAGTCAAGTCACTCATCCACCTAAGCATTCTCATCTCAACAACATTTGACTTAGTTTTATTCTTCTCTTTTATAACCCAACACTCTGCACCACAAAGTATTGTAGGTCTCCGCCAAAGATTCTAATAGCAGATAAATGCATATTCATGGAAATGAAAAGAGAGCATCAACTTGATGTATACTCGAGAAAAAGCAATACATAATACTTAAACTAGCATATAACACTAGAATTTGTAGATAAGAATAAAAAGGTTCACACAAATAGAAGATAACGTAAAGCAACTACATTGTAGATATGCTATATTAGTCTCTTCAACTACTAAAGCTAAATAGAGACTTCTCAAATTGAGCACTTACAATTTTAAGCATTCTATTGAAAAGTGCATCACAGAAATACTTATTCTTAACGTTTACTTCCAAAAAAAAAATTACAACTACCATACCAACATGAATAAGCCTAAGATAGTTTTGGACCTCCGATTAATCAAGATATAGGAAGCAATACAAGAAATCAAATGTAGGAGTTGATAATTGTTCAAATGAGTTATCTACTGAATGTAATACACTAGAAGCATTGGACCCAATGAATTTCAGATAAAAAAGGAATTTAAGACAACAAAACATGACTAAAGAGACAAATTTTGCAAGAGCACACAATACCTTGGGAGGAAAGTATGGGAAAAACATCGTCCTAATTGTAATAGAATTATGCTGTTTCGGGTAACTAGTTAACAAATAACTAATCAACCTATACATTTTGAACTCCAATATAATTACCTTATTTAAAGTAGAAAAAGTAGAGAGAGTCCTACTAGTTCGACACCTTAAACAACATATATGAGAATCAAGATGGTATTTTGTTGGGCTCCTAATAGCTATTTATGGGCCTTATTTCCATTTACTTGTAAATTAATCTTAAAAAATAAGAAAAGACACTCAAACCATCAAAGTAATGGTTTCATACACATACTAGTTATTTCTTAGATTTTACATGAGATGAACAAAGTCGCCAAAGCCTTTTTATCTACTACAAATCAAACAACCCAAATATTTAGTAAAAAATACATGCATATTTATAGAAAAGAAAAAAAGAGCATCCACTTGATGTACACTAAAAAAAAGCAACACATATTTGAATTAATATATAACACTAGAGCTAGAAGTTGTAGATATCTTGCACTTAATGTTCACTTCAAAAATTAAAAACATCATAGCTACCATGACATCATGAATCAGCGATTAATCAAGATCTAAGAAACTTTATAAGAAATGAGTGTTAAAAGTCGATAATAATGAAAGTGAGTTATCTACTGAATGTAATACATTAGAAGCTTCGGAATCATGAACAAAAGGGCACATTTTCAACAACAAACAATATCTCGAAGAAAAGTATGTAGAAAACATCATCCTATTTGTAATAATTTTTTTGTCTTTAGGGTTATATTAAATTATTTAGCAACAAAAGAATCAACCGATGCATTTTAAACTCCAATATAATTACCCTCTTTAAAGTAAATAAAGGTTCAGAAAGACCTGCTAGTTCTGCAACTACAATGATGACAATATTCACTAAATTTTATAAATGTAATAGCTTGCGTAATTCTTTTGCATATCTAAAAGTCACCCAAGTAATTTTCATTGTACAGTTTCATCAAAACATATAAATTACTCCTTATTGACGCATTTCAACAACAGAGACAAAAAAAAATTTCTTGACATGAGCATAACAGCAGAACTGACGCCTCTTAAAAAACAAAAAAAAAATTTAAGCAATCATCTGCTCACCATATTGCTTCAATAGTTTTGCCGAGAAAAGAGGCAGAAACCTGGCGAGCAAGGCCTTGGCTTAAGTCGTAAACATTTAGCATGACCTTCTGAGCCTCCTGCTTATGAAGTTCAGAACACACCGTTAGCAAAACCGTAGAAAAGAAACAAATAGTTAAATGGGTGAAAGAAAACAGGAAAAAATAAGGAATCACTGTAATACCTCCGACATAACTTTTCTCGTATCCCCCAAGAATCCCTAGAAAAATTAATACCTATTTCAGAACTAAGCTGAATTTTTAACAAATCAACAAACAGATGTTACAAAGGGATAACAACTAAAGCAATGCAGTTTAATGAAATTTCAAAAATCACATTTCATGAAAACAAGTGCAATTTTCACCCTAAAAAATAGGCGAGGTATCCCTACAAAATGTGTCAATGGTAAGAAAGAAATTGCGAAATGAAAACCTACTATGATATCAAACAACTGTAAATGAGCACACCTACCACTAAATCCGAAGAAGAAGACGACGAGAAGTTTTTGGAGCGACCGAAATAGGAACGATCCCCAGACGGAAATTCCAACACCGGCTGAAAGGAAAACAGAGCGAAAAAGAGAAGCGCACTTGACCCTTTTTATAGTTGAGACGGTACAATTATGAGCTTTTTTTATTAATCCTGGCGCAGGATTAAACGCAAAGAAGAGCTCTGTGGGTACGATCATCCACCGTTGATTGGATTGAATATAAGCCATGGACGGCAGATGCTGCTATAAAAGGCCTCGGGAAACTTCTAGATGTTGCCCGACGCGGTATAGGTCAAAGTGAACGTGCTGAAGAAACGATCCCACTCCAAAATCTTGGAAGTAATCATGGGCAGTGTGTACAAATTAATTTGAGTTAATAATTTTTGATGATGCTACCTTTATTTAAAAATAAATAAATAAAAGAAATCATAGGAGATAAAATATCAAAAAATTCAAAATAAACTCAATATAAAATAAGAATAATCAAGGCATACAAGGATTCTATAAATCACATAAACTACAAAAAAAAAAAAAATTTGATGAAAAAAGAATAATAAAAATGCAAATTTTAATCTCTAAAACTGTTCGAAGCAGCTATATCAGACGTAATGAAGATCCTGAGCCAAGCAATCAAAGAAAGCATCAAACCATCAAATAAAAGTCCTTCTCACATAGAAAACATAAAATGTAATGACCAACTTATTCAATAAATTCAAAATAACAATCAACTATTAACAACTCATTGATACAACATCAGAAGTTCCTCTAAAAGAATGAGAGCAACAATATTAATTGTCATGTCTCAAATTTGTAACATTTTTCTACATTAATCCTATTTTTATTTCTTATTTATCATGATTTTACGATTATAGAATGCATTTTTGTCATGTTTTGTAGAAAAAATGTATTGAGCATGTTTTGGGGAGTTATAGATGAAATAGGGCTAAAAGACTTCCAGAGCGCATGCCCCTGTACACTACACGCATGTGCTACATTCCAAAGCAACGTGTGCCCTAGCGCGTATTCAATGCACCCACACCACTTTTATAAGAGTGGCATTTGCGACAATATCACACACTTGGTGCATCCTTAGTGCTTGGCATGCCCACCTCGCATCAACATGCACCCACGAGCCTTCCCGAACACGTAACATGTCTGCGCAGTCTAGTGGTTTATATGCACCAATTGCTCTGCATATTCACATGTCGTTCTATAGGACGTCGATTTTGGAAGGATTTGAGCAGCCTTAAGCCCTAATATTATATATATATTATATATATATATATGTGTAATAGAAGTTTAGCGTTCTTTTTATCCTTTGGGGCATAGCCTCTAGGGATTAGAAAAGTTTTTGGGGCTTTAAGATTGCTCTCTATTGTTCGCTTAAGGAGTTTTTTCCTATTTTTTCTCTTTTCATGTTTATTTGTTGAGAGCTTGGAGAGGTTGTAAAGAGAGATTGAGTGCACTTGTATGAGTTAAATCTACGGAAAGCCTTTATTGAACTGAGAAGAGTACAATGTATTGCATGGATCGATCGTCTTAGATTTGACTTTTTCTTACCTCTGGCATTACGTTTTTATGTCTTTAAAATAATTTTCACACTTTTTTCTCTTTTATTGCAATTAATCTCATTTTCGTAGTCTTGTGATGTTAGAAATATGGGTTTCTCATTAATTTATATTATGGATTTTGTTTTGCTAGACTTCTTTTTTGTGCTTGGATTCCATATGTTGGTGTGTTAATTCGCTGACCTTAATTTACTTCGAATCTGACCTGATAAAATGTTAAATTTTTTTATGATCTAGGACTTCTAACTATCAGCTAGAAGAACAAGTAGGTTAACACACAATAGTCTAGTGGAATAGACATATTATCTTTAGAAAATTACAACCTCAACAAAGAATTTGAGGAATCCTGAGAAACACTGCATATTTAAGCCACTCTTAATTGTAATATGATTTCCAGCTCTTCTTATGATGTGGACATAGACTAAGGAGGATTGTGCCCCTGCTTGTCGAAAATTGGGACTTTATAGGAAAATCATCGAGAAATGGCTAGATCAGTGTCATAAAGGTATGAGATTTTATTCTCTAAAAAACTTCAATAAAACCTAGTTTAGTTTTTATTTCTACATTCGGATTTGGAACCTTGGAATATGTCGGTGAAATTTCAATCTAAGCTTACTAGTTTAGTAAACTAGATCTTTTTGTTAGAAATATTATAACACTTTCCTCATGAGATCAATATACAGAAACTTTAATCGTATATTAATTGATCGACACATAAACTTGTATGATTGATTGATTTCTTTGCAATAATTTTAGGCATTAGTAATCCTTCCAACAATAACTAAATAAATTCTAATAATAAAAAGAAAAGACCTACAAAAAAAGAAAAAAAAAACTACAGTCTTCAGTTTCACTAGAAAAAATAATATCATCAATAAAAGAAATAATTAGGATGAGAATTAAGGAACAAAGAGCTTAAAATAATCAAATTTGCAAAAACATTAAGCTTCTATCCAAGAACAATGTATACATTATGGAAATCAGAATATATGCAAATGAATGGTTGAGACTTAATGCTTGATTGAAAATCATCATAGCTCGATAAAAAAACCTTGAAAGAATAACTAAGTGCAATATATGTTAATAAAAGCAATAAGAGGTAGAAGAAAAAAACTAAAAAAATTAAGAAGATATAAATCCATCCAAAAATAAATAGTTTCCCAAAGAAAGATATTGAAACTCTAACCATTAATTAAAATCCTACAAAGTTAAAATAACCAAAATATAAATAATAAATTGTTTGAGTTTCAATGAAACGCTTGCAAAACATCCAATCCCAAAAAGAAACAAATTTCATAATGCAATAAGTTACCTTATCATTAAAAACACATGTTTACATAACAAAAATTTGTTGTTATCTGATCCAGATCTTTTATGAAAATACTAAGTATGTGTATATATTCTCAAAATTTCTTACATATATTTCTTACTTTACAACGGTAGCAGAAAACTTGACTCCGAAGAAAATAAGAGTTCAATTATTATATTTAAACATTGAGATATTACATAAGTATACATATCGTTATCAAGTAATATATGACTTTTTGATTAAGCCCCAAATATCAAATTTCAGTTTTCATTTTATTAATAAGAAATTAGATAACAAACTCTACTTTGAAAAATATTCTTACCGAAACTATTGATTCTAAAATAAACTTTTTGGTATTTTTAATGTTTGAAATTGAAATAAAAACTTATTAAAGATAACTTGAGTTTATGTAAAAGAGAAACACTGAATACAAAATATCTTTCTCCTTATCATGAATCAATAACAAATATAGAAATTTTGTTGTGAAAGTATTCGAGTCATGAATCAATAACAAGTATAGAAATTTTGTTGTGAAAGTATTTGAGTTGTGTTGTGCCAAATAGAAGCAATATTATTTTTTATCCTTACTAAAGATGCTATAAAGAACATTGGTTAATTTAAAGTTTGAATAGTCTTGAAGACATGCTAGGTAGGGAAGATACTAGCTCTTACTTTAAAGTTCTCTCTTCTCCCTCCACCTTTGTATCAAAACCTAAAACATTAAATTTCATTGTGGGATTTAGTGTGTCACTCTAAGGTCCTCTAACTCTACATCCTTCAAAGTTTATTTCCCTATTTATTTGCACTCAACCATATGAATTACTTCCTCATCCATACAATCTGACGTGATTCTTAACATTAATTGACTGAACAATATCATCTCGGATCTTACATGTTCTCATAAAAAATATTAACATTTTAATTGGTTAAATCAAGAATTAAATGAAGTACAAGATTTAAAGTTATCATAACTTATTCCAACATTAAAGACCAATACTTCTCACAACATCCATCCAACACTTAGTCACTTATCATTTTAAGGAAAAAGATATAGAAAACTACTCAGAATTCATGGAGAAAACACAACTACATACTCAGAATTATAGAAAACTACTCAGAATTCATGGAGAAAACACAACCACACATAAGTTTAAAAGTAGAAATCATGTAAACACACAAGAAGTCATAATTAAAACCAAATGTAGTCATAAAGATAAAAACTTATTTCAAATTCGTCTCTACCAAACTCTTGAAGTTCCTTTGAATCTCTTCTCTTCCTTTCAATTACAATACTCTCTACTAGCACACTATAACTCCTCCTTTTCTTCTCTCTAAAAGTGTCATAATTAATCTATGAAAGAGAGGCATCGACAGTTAATTGAGACTCCTTAGAGGGGAGCTTCTTCAATTCAATCCAAGTCCTCTTTTATAATTTTCCAAAAGGTGCTCTAGTGTCTCATCAAAATATGTCCACATTCAATGAATCTTCCAAGATTTGCCTCCTTTCAAAAGGAATTTGAAATTATTTTTGTGTCCATTAACCATATCCCATGTTTTCAACAAGAGTTGCTTCAAACACCCCTTCAAAAATTCATCCAAATTCATTGAGTCATCAAGTAACTACCTCTGAAGCTTAAGCGCGAGGTATGTGGCGCTTAGACATGGCTTTCTCTATTATCCTGGCGCTTAAGCGCCAATCTTGGGTGCTTAGGCACCACAGTTCTTTTGCACACCTTAATTTTTGCTCCAATTTTGATCTTATTCACTCATTTCACTATTTTTCATCCATTTAACAATACCTGAAAGAAAAACACACAAATACCTTTCAAACACACAAATACCTTTAATACCTTTCATTAAAGTGCAATATTCTCAAAAATAGGTATAAAAATGTGTACATAAATGCTATATATTTTAGGTTTATCAAAATCCCCCAAAATTAAAATTTAACTTGTCCTCAAGTGACACTCCAATCTTTTAAAACCAAAATAAGTAGATTATATTAATGAGTTCCCTTAAGATATTCTAAAATTTTGTTTTAGAAATATAATTATCCAATTTAAAAAAAAAAAAACATTAGTAAATGAAACCAACTTAGAGTTTAGAAATCTTTAGTGTAAAGAAGTCTGAAAATATGAGTTCCTACCTAGTTCATAAATACTTGTGAATTCTCCAAATATAGAGTTTAGGCATTTTATCTTCTCCACTTAAT